ATCCAGCCCTGCTCCCCTGCTGGCTGGTTCCTTCTCCCTCCTGCCCCTGATCAAGTGTGTCTGTTTTTTTAAAGACTACCTGGTGACCGTAGCCGCAGGGGGCAGGACGGGTTCTTGAGCCATCGTGGGGGTGGGGTGAGTCCTGGATGGTGCTGGGGGCTGCAGGTGGCAGGCACATGACCTGCGGTGAGTGGGGCTGCCCCTGCAGCTCAACGGGTTATTTTTTATTTTTACAGGTTGAGATCAGGCCCAATCAGGTCCAAAAGTTCCTTAAAACCTTCTCCTGGAGGAAAGGTTATCCCATGCAAAGTTTGGTTGTGGTAGCTCTTATAGTGTCCAAGTTATTAGAGCACAAACATACAGACATTCTCCTTTATAGATTAGATTTACAAGACAAAACCCAGTCCTATTCTTCTCCTTCAATGGCTTGATGAATGCCTTGGGTCTTTTTCACTGCTGAGTGCAGTTCAGTGATCAACCCGTTTGCTTTCAGTAAGACACTCGTAAGGACAAACATAGTTACATGTGTTTAATGTGGTCTTCAAGCTCTTGGTTCTACTTGTGGCCATCTGCGTTTGGAAATCCTTAGTAAGAACTATGGCTCAAGGAGGGATTGGTTAAGAACTCAAATTTCTTTACTTATAATTAAAAATGGTAAGTTTCAAATTGAAAACATAAATGTTTAATAGGATAAATGATGGTGGCTGCTATGTGAATCTTGGGTGAATGGTGCTATAAAAATTATTTAATCTTTTCTTGAAATCAAGGTGAGTCACTGAAAGTTGGAAAGGGATGCAAACTTGAAATGCTGCTGTTTTCAGACATTAGGATGATGTGATGCTTTGGGTTTTAGGTTTGTCTGTGAGGATACAGTGGAAGAAAAGATCTCACAGCTTCAAACCAAGAAGAAAGATCTGGCTCAGCAAGTGCTATCGGGCACAGGAGACTCGTTCACCAAACTCACACTGGCTGACCTCAAACTTCTCTTTGGCCTCTAACTGCTTCTTAAAGCAAACAGCTTAAAAGCCATCCAGGGCCTGGAGACAACCAGGGCATTTTCAACAAAAGCCTTGTATTTAAAGTGGCTAGTTCTTATTAGAGCACGAATTCAAGTTGTTATAAAAACTGATCCAGGAGGAGAAACAACTGGATTTTTGGAATGGTTTTATATTTAAGTTAGAAGCTGAATGCAATAAAGACTAATGAAACTATAAATAAATCATGTCTGTAATCCTGAGTCAAGTAGATTCTGCTTTGTCTTATTTTGAGCTGGGGGAAGAGGGTTAAGCATATTCTCTATAGTTGAAGATCTTTTTCTCCTTTATTAGAATGGGAGAGAACTTGGCTGCAAATAGACCGAAGAAGAGTGGAGCAAAAGGGAAAAGACTGTGAGATAGGAAAGAGCAAGAGGTTGGTTAAAGGAATTGAGTGAAAGTGAAGGAAAGAACTGTTTTTCAGAGAAAAATACCAAAAAGGAAAATGATAGAAATGGGTAGAATTGAATAAAAAACGGAAGAGGAGGAGAATAAAGCAATAGAAGAAATAGATTTCAAAATATATTTTTTTGAAATAAATATATGGTATATATATTTATTTTGAAATAAATGGTATATATATTCCTTTGTACTTCTTGAGTGCATAGTTTATATCTAAGGGCATGTCTACATTAGGGAGTTGTCTCTAAATAAGTTATTTAGAGACAATAACTCCCAAAATAACAATTTTGAAGTAGTGCTAATTCTCTTTGCAAGCAGGAGTTAGTTCAAAATAACAAGCCCTTTATTTTGAAATAACGAGCTTGGTAGTATGGACACTTGCCTTATTTCAAAATAACTGCCTAGTGTAGACATGCCTTAAATCAGTGGTCACCAACCAGTAGATTGGGATTGGAATCTACTGGTAGATCTTGGAACCTCTGACAGGTGATCCTGACAGGTTTGGCCAAGAGGCGATCAAACACAGCACTTCAGCTGCTCTTCCCCATACTGCTGTGCACCTCCTGCCCTTTGCTTTGGAGCTGCCCCCCCTCGTCTCTGCCCAGAGCCTCCTGCTTGCGGTACAGAGCAGGGAAGGGGGTGCTGATCCCTTCTCCCACACTGTATTGGGATGGAGGGAGTTTGCTGGCTGCTTTTGAGAGTGGGGCAGGGCCACAGGGCAGGGGGCAGCCTTCCTTAGCCCCACTGCGCCACCACCCAGGAGCCACCTGAGGTAAGCAATATCCAGCTGGAGCCATCTCTAAACCCCTGCCCCAAGCCCTGAGCCCCCTGGACCCAAACTCCCTTACAGAGCCTACACCCCCCCCCCTCCTGCACCACAATCCCCCGCCCCAGGATCAGTTCAGAGTCCCCCCTCTCCAAACCCCTAGCCTATGCCCCAACCCTTTGCCCTTGCCTGGTGAAAGGGAGGGAGAATGGGGGAGGGAGGACAGAGTGAACAGGGGCGGGGCCTCAGAGAAGGGGTGTGAAGGAGATGGGGCAAGAGTGTGGTTTTGAGGTAGATCCTGGATTGCACTTAAATTCAAAAAGTGATCTTGTGCTTAAAAAGGTTGGAGATCACTGCCCTAAGTGACAAGTGGATTCTCCATCCTGCTCAAAACAGGATGCATGCAGGTGGTAGAAATTTTACCTCCTTCCTTGGGTTTCAGTTACACTTCAAAGAGATCAGAATGAAATGCAAACTCCAGACCTCCCCAGGCTTGGCTGCTCCCAAGGTTCCTCCCTGAGGACTGATCAGCTTACATCCTAGGTCCTTCACACTTTATAGCAGGTGCCAGTAATAAGATACTTGTAGTAGTAAATGTTTGCTGTTTGTTTTCTATCTGGATTAGCACTCTAAGTACCTTATATTTGTTCTTTCTTTCTCACCCCCAAAGCCACGCATGTGCCATACACTTATTTCCTCTCCACTGCACATTTCTTTTGGGATTCAACTTCCAATGACACCTGCAACCATCTCCTCTGCTACTCTCAACAGGTTCTCTTATCTACTGAATTCTTCAGTCTATTTTGTCTCCACTTTAACAAAGAAACTATTTATTTCTGATACAATGTAATAATGGTGTGATGCACAGGACTGCTGGTAAGAAACGGGGCTTTCATTTCCTTGCATAAGTCTAGGTGATAAAAGATTAATACGATGACACATGAGAGTGGGCAATATCGATTGTTTTGAGTAATCCCTGTTCCATCAGATATGTTGCAATGTGATCTTGTCAAGTAAGTGTTTGTTCCCCTTATCTCTCAGAAGGTGTGCTGTTTCTGGAGCATCTAAGATGGCTTTGGCTCAAGTCCCTTTCTTGGTCCTTTAGAGAGTCCTCAGAACCCGGGAGGTACTAGGAGAGGTGATCACATCAGTTCCAGTATAATATGAGGTTTGGAAAAAAAATCCATTGTGATACTTGAGGGATACTTGAGGGAATTGGGGGCAAACACTTGTCAGTTTTCACACACAGGCTACGTCTAGACTGGCATGATTTTCTGCAAATGCTTTTAATTGAAAAGTTTTCCATTAAAAGCATTTGCAGAAAAGAGCATCTAGATTGGCACAGATGCTTTTCCGCAAAAGCACTTTTTGCAGAAAAGCAGCCGTGCCAATCTAGACACGCTTTTCTGCAAAAAAGCCCCAATTGCCATTTTCGCGATTGGGGCTTTTTTGTGCAAAACAAATCTGAGCTGTCTACACTGGCCCGAATGGGAGCAGCATAGTATTTCCGCAAGAAGCACTGATTTCAGACAGTAGGAAGTCAGTGTTCTTGTGGAAATTCAGGCGGCCAGTGTAGACAGCAAGTTTTTCTGCAAAAGCAGCTGCTTTTGCAGAAAACTTGCCAGTCTAGATGCAGCCACATTGAATATGTGCTCATAGCTCCATCCATAGCAAAAAACCTGACCTGGCTGCAGAATGGCTGTGGATTTCTATAGGGTTAGAAATGGGAAAATGCCTTCTGTGACCTCCCTAAATCCTTCACTGGCAGCACAATCCATCTCTCACTTGACTTTTCCAGAGTCTGTAGGGGAAATGTTTCAATTTGTTTCAAATTGCATATGCTCTCCAGCAAAATTAAGCAAGAGGGATGAAAACTGCATGAGGGATGAAAATCGCAGCAACTTAGCAGGTCTGATTCTACTCCTACCACCACGGACTTCAAATGGTATATTCTTTAGGGAGAACTAAAAATGTCCCATCACGGAGCTTCCAGCCCTTTCTCTGGAAAGGCTGTTCACTAATCTAATGGGCATGTTTCTGGCTATACACATGAAAGCTTTTGTTAAGTTGTATCCATTACAAGTCTCTATTACCTAGGTGGGCTCTTCTAAAAACAATTTGTGATGGGGTGTACTTTGGGGCCTATGCTAGAAGCCTTCTGGGCCTGCAATGACCCTTTTCGAAAAGGAGCAGTGAAGGTGGGCCCCCTAAGATTGGTTTCTCGCAGCTTTCTACGCAGACTCAGCTAAAAGGTGCTGCAGAGATCAGAGGAGTGAGGAAGGGGCTCCATGCTGGAGCTGAAGATGGAATCTGATCTGACACTTGTTCTGTGAGAGAGAACTTCAGCCCTGAAATAAGGGTGAAGGGAACGGGGCTATGTGAATGCAGCAGCAATAGAGCTTAATGAGGCAGTGTGGGGCTAATATTTGTAGGGTCCCTGGGTCAGGACCCAGAGAAATGGGCAGGTTTAGGACCCAGGGTGGCCTAAGCCACAAGAAGGGACATACGGTTTATTTAGAGGTTCAAGTGAAGGCAGGACCTAGAGTCTCTAGGGTGAAAGACCTGCCTGTTGGGCACTACTCTATACCAGGGCAGACACAGACTTAAAATTAGTCCAGAATTACCTGAGGCCTGAGCCCCAAAACAGGATTAAAGGTGGTGGTAAGGACGCAAGGACAAGCACTATTGGACCTTTTACATCACCCAGTGTAAATACAATATAACTACAGTATAATTCTAGTATCTTTTCCTATTTGGTCAGGTCCTCACCTCTTTCATAGAGGGGATTTGCAAGTTTTGGGGGGAACGGAATATGATGTCACAATAGATGATAACCCTTCCCTACTTAGTTAGTGGTAGAAAAGCCTTCAAGTGCAGTCAGAGCTGTGGCTGATACTTCTAGTTATATTTTCCAAGATGCTGAAGTCCTCCAGCAGCAAGGGACCTGAGACTGTGATATTTCTTTTTTTTTAACCTGCTTGTTTTATAAACTGAAATATAAAGAGCACCTTTTGAATATCATTAAAGGAGCAGTAAAGAGTAAATATTTGTACGGGACTCAGCAATATTTTTCCCCCATTAGTGGTTATGGTAAAACAGGTTTTTGTGTTAGGTCTTGCTGTGTAGATGTACCATAAGTTGTATTAAGCTATGCAACTTCAGCTATGTCGATTGCGTACCTGAAGTTGAAATAGCTTAACTCGGCTTTTGGTGCTGTCTACACAGCAGGAAGTTGAAGTTGAACACTCTTCCTTCCACTTCCCTTACGCCTCGTGAAATGAGGGTTACCAGGAGTCGGAGTAAGAAGTCCTCAAGTTTCACATTATTTTGAAATAATGGCTTGTAGTATAGATGTTCACTATGTTATTTCAGAGTAACTGATTTTATTCCAAAATAACACTGCTGATTGACGTACCGTTAGAGGCACAAAGGGTGGGCCCAATGTATTTATTTGCTAACTATTGTTAACACAAATTTTAATCCATGTGTAGGCGCTGTGGTGTTTATCTAGTTATTGTAATGAACAATAGTGGAAAAATTATGAATGTGATCTTGCTTTCATATTTTACTATTACTTTTAAAACAAAAGGCTGAGTTAACTGCAGGTTTGAAATGGCTATGTGTTCATTTTTCTTTATGACATGGTCAATAAAGGATCTCTCACTAGTAGCAATTCTCATTATACTCCCCTGGAATCTTTTCCTACAAATTAATTAGAAATAATAAAGAACACACTCACCCATTCAGAACTCAAGATTTAATTAAAAAGAAGCAGTAAGTAACCAGGGCCACAACCACTGAGGGTACGTCTACACAGCAGCATTATTTTGGAATAACTAACGTTATTCCGAAATAACATAGTGTGCATCTACACTACAAGCTATTATTTGGAAATAATATCAAGCTGGAGGACTTCTTGCTCCAATTTATGGTAACCTTCATTTCATGAGGAGTAAGGGAAGTGGAAGGAAGAGTGTTCTTTCTTCGACTTTCTGCTGTGTAGACCGCACCGAAAGCTGAGTTAAGCTAGTTTGAC